GATCACGTGGCTGGGAAGCAGGCCAGTGACTACTTAGCTGTCCTGAGAACTTTCATTGTCTGAGTCATAGGTCTGCCCCCTGCTGGCTCTGTAAAACTGTTATTATTAAAGAGTATTGGCTGCTTGCTAGAAGCTTTGTAGCTGAGAATTAATAGAAGGCCTGGATTCAAAGAAAGTGCCATGTCTGAAAGGAAGGCTACTTACTGTATTCTGTGTCTACTTGGTTTCACAAGGATTAAAACTCTTTGAGGACAGGGATTTTGTCTTCTTTGTGCAGTACTGTATGCCCAGCATAGTAAATCAAATAAATGTTAGGGGCACCTGGGTGGCTCAGTTGGTTAAGGGTCTGACTCTTGATTTTCGCTCAGGTCACGATCTAATGGTCCATGAGATCGATCCCGGAGTTGGGTCCTGTGCTGGCAGCACAGAGCCTGGTTGGAATTCTCTCTCTCTCCCTTGCTCTCTACCCCTCCTCCACTCAGGCTCGTGCCCTCTCTCTCTCTCTCTCTCTCTCTCCCAAAGTAAACATTGAAAAATGTTTTAAATCCAATAAATATTTGTCAACTGAATGAGTAAATGAATGAACAAATGAACCTTTCTCAACCTTAGTTTCTTAGTCTGAAAAATGGGAGTAAAAAAAAAATCACTTCATGTGATCTGAACTGGATTTAATGAAATAAGTCCGTATTATGTTCATAAGTTCACACAATGCTCATGGTATAAAATTAATTTTAATATAATTTAAAGTATTGTCTAATGATTCAAATTAATTTTTTAAATGGTGTGATTCATTGTTGAGGTGACTTGGACATATTTTCACATTTGGATTTTATGATGTTCATTTCTGTAGTGATATGTATAGCTGAGACTGTACCCCAAGTCTCTAAAAATTTATCTACTACTATTAAAGAAATCCCTCATTTTTCAATACTGGACCTCTTTCATAGAGCTCATTCCTACTCCAAAATCAGACTAAGGACCTGATCCAATATTCATTACTTGACAGCCCCCTTTATAAATTGTCCTCTTTCCTCAAATATGTTTCCTAGATTAACTCAGCTAGTGGCTAATGAGCAGTTCTTGTAGCTCTTTTCTGTCCCCCCTTTTGAATTGTGGCCTGTTTTTCTTCCCATCATCAATATATATGCAATGTCATAGTTTGTAAGTCTGCTTTTCTTAATGTTTTATACCAGGAGTCACAAATTGCCAAGCCACTGCCTGAATATGGCCCAGTGTTTAGTTTAAAATGTGAGAGACTTCTCACTCATTAAAAAATAGGGATTTCTGGCTCCTTTTGGAGAAAGAAGTCAGAAGATCTGGCTACACTGGGCCAGTACTTCTGCATAGCAGTTATAGCTGATCCCCTTTCGACACGGCTGTTATTGCTAATTCACCACAGTCCCCACTCTCTTTGCTGTCTCATACCCAGGACTGTCTCCCATCTCAGCCCCTATACACCTAGAAGAGTTTGTCCCTCACACATTTTCCAGGGTGAGAATGATCACCCCAGTGGCATCACCATGGATAATTCAGATCTCTGTCTGTCATAGCCCTCTTGTAAGCTCCATACTCATTTCCAAATATGTTCTGGACATTTCCTACAGAATATCTGCCAGTCTGTTCTTCCTTCTTTGCTAGCTTCCTTCCATCAAGCAAATAGGCACCAGGGTATAAAGAAGATACTGCTTTATCCCTCATGGAGCTGGTTGGTGAAATTGGCGCTCATGGAAACTACATGCTGTGTGCTATGGTTAGGGTGTATGTAGGAAATTATGGAACTTAGCAGACCAGGGAGGTGGGGTAGTAGTCAGGCAAGGCTTTCTGAAGCAAATGGAAACTAATTTGATTAACTGAAGCTAAAGTGGGATGGGAGAAAGGTAGAGGATGACATTTTTTCCCAGGAGGGTTGACAGAAACCAGACACGTAAGAGCCCATTCTGCCTCATTCATTTACTGTACCAATATTTGAGTGCTATGTGTGAGCCACTCACTGTGTTAGTGGTAACCAAGGCTGAAATGGTCGCATGGAACTTAGACTTGAGAGGAGTCAGAAACCAAGTAGATGGAGGGCCATTGGCTGAGATGAGACATCCATGAGAGCCAGGGAAGATGAGAGCAGTTTTGGATGTTGAGTTTGAAGTGCCTGTGCCCTGATGGAAATGTCCTAGGCAGTGGCACAAAAGTCTGGAACCCAGAGAAAGATTGAGGCAGACATGGAGTTAGAAGTTAGTCCATAGGTGGTAACTGAGGGGCTGTGAAATAGAAAATAGAGTGAAAGAGCATAGACACGAGATAGGAACAGTGAACCGACAACAGATAGCCTCCCTCAGTCATTCCTTTTCCTCTGCAAGCCTGAGAAGGAAGGATCACATAGGTAAAAAGGAATGTAGGAAGGCGATGTATTAGAAAATAAGAGAAAAGCATTTCAAGGAAGAGAGGGAAAAAGTCATATCAGAAAAAAAAAATGAAGACCATCCATTTGGATTTCACCAAAGAGATCATTCTTCAGACTCCCAGTGTCCCAGCCCTGCTGGCTGACCCCAGATGTGCTGCCTCTTGTGTTTTTCCCTCTGATATTGTTAGCGTGCAGAGACGCTCCCACAGAGGAAACTTCAGTTGCCCCTGACTGCTACTGTTCCTTCATCTTCTACCTGTACCCTGAATTTAGCCCCCCTTCATCCATTCTACTACCACCCAAGTTTCGGCTGCATTTCTTACTGTAATGGATTGTTGCAAACGTCCTCTGAAATGCTCTGGTATTACTATTCACTTTAGCCATACTAGCTTTCCCATCATTTCCTCAACAGGTTACATGTGCATCGAGATTTGGGCCTTTCACATAGGCTCTTTCCTCTGCCTGGAGTATCCACTTTTCTTCCTGTGTGGGCAAAACTAGTCATCCTTCAAACTCCTGTTCCTCTTCTCCCAAGAAGCTTCTCCTGGCAGAATAACTTATCCCTTCCCTTGAGTTCACAGAGCATTCTGTTCATACCTGTTTTGTGGCATCTGTACCAGTGTGTTACTTATTCATTACCAATCTGTCCATCTGCCCCATTTACATGAGTTTCAGGGTGAACACTCCAAGAGTTTGAGGTGGTGGTTTTCACAGCCTGGCATTATCCTGGGTTCATAACTATTTCCCTGTGGCTGTCCTAATGGCAGGAATACAGGAGATACTCAAATATTTCATGTTGGAAGTAATAAGATATGTAGTAGCTGTAGGAAATATAAACATGAACAGTAGCCAACTTTAGGAGAAGAATTGAAGGATGTGTTTCCAGATAAACATGGTAATTTTTAGTTCCTAGATGTGGCAGTGGAAAGAATCTGCTGGGTTTTTTTCCTTTAGTCAAAGAGAAAAAAAAAAAAGTCATTTGTAAAGTTAAAATGTAGGAGATTAGGAAAAGGGGCGGGAAGGGAAGCATTCTGTTACTCCAGGGAAAGAAGCTAGTGCTCTGAGAGAACCCTTACTTCCTTATTGCTGATAATGCTGGCTCTCTCTGCAGCAGCTGCGCCTGTCTTTCTCTGATTAATTCTAATGAGACCTTTATCTCATTAACATATCAGAACTCCATTCATTCACCTTGCCTGGAGGTCAGAGATTGCAGCAGAATCTAAAATTCAAAGAAGTGGGGGCACCTGGGTGGCTCGGTCAATTAAGCCTCCAACGTAGGCTCCGGTCATGATCTCAAGGTTCTCAAGCCCCGCGTTGGGCTCTGTGCCGAAAGCTCTCGGAGCCTGGAGCCTGTTTCTGATTCTGTGTTTCCCTCACTCTCTGCCCCTCCCCTTCCCTCTCTCTCAAAAATGAATAAAAATATTTTAAAAATAAGTCATTAAAAAATAAAATAAAATTCAAAGAAGTAAATCAACAAGCAAACCTAAAAGAATTACAAAAAAAAAAAAAACCTAAGTGAAATTTTACTAAATATTGATTTTCACAGTATAGTGACAACTCCTCAAAGACACCTATCAAAACATACTAGTGTCTAAGACAGGGAGTGACTTGGAAGAGAAATAATATGTACATAATAGAACATTTATCACACTAAGAACTTAACATAGCAATTTAGGAGAGTATTGCTAATTACAAATTAGATTTCTGTAAGGATAATCTAGCAATCTAATCTACATGGGCTGGGTAGAAATCAGACCTATTATTTAAACATGAGAGGGGGTACCTGGGTGACTCAGTGGGTTAGGTGTCCAATTCTTTTTTCTTTATTTTAATTTTTTAATGTTTATTTATTTTTGAGAGAGAGAGAGAATATGGGAGAGGAGCAGAGAGAGAGGGTGGCACAGAATCTGAAGCAGGCTCCAGGCTCTGAGCTGTCAGCACAGATCCCGACGCGGGGCTCGAACCCACAAACCGTGAGACCATGACCCAAGCTGAAGTTGGATGCCCAACCGACTAAGCCACCCAGGCACCCCAGACGTCCAACTCTTAATTTCCTATCAGGTCATGATCTAACTGTTAGGTTCGTGAGCTCAAGACCTGTGTGGGGCTCTGAGCTGACAGCATGGAGCCTGCGTGGGATTCTCTCTCTCTCTCTCTCTCTCTCTCTGTCTCTCTCTCTCTGCCCTCTACCCCCACCCCAGTTGCACACACTGTCTCAAAAATAAATAAACATTAAAAAAGTAAACATAAGAGATCGATGCTTTAATATGAGCTATAGATAACATTTTAAGTAAGAAGTCATCAATTCAAATGCCTGCATGGGACAGGCAAGTCATGTAAACAGGCCTAGTGGAGGGGTCCAGAGGGGTGAGGAGTCGGGGGCCTGTGGTGACCTGAGGAGAGTGCACCTCATCTAAAGAGGACAAAGACTCAGCCCCTGCCCCTTGGTGACATGCCAGAATACAGGCCCTATATTGCCATATGGCTTGATTTTTCTAAGAAGCAACTGATCTTCATTTGTATGTAAAAATGTCCTGATTTTTAAAATATTGTGTGAGTCAAATGACATGTGTCTGAAGGCAACATTTGCACTATTGGCTTCCAGTTTGCAACACTCATTTTGAAAGTCCAAGTTACTTCTTACCTGCCTTAATCCTTGCTGGAGAAAACAACTGAGCCCTGAGAAGTGATGCTGCGTTGCATGAACTGTATTTCTCCTGGAAATGCTTTAAGATCTTCAAGGAGGTCAGACCACAGCACAACAGACATCTGGAGGAGAAATGCCCATTTCCATTCAAGGTAGTATAATTGATTTTCCCCAGAGCAGCTTTGGACCAGCTCCTCCTTTGGAGAAAAACTCTGCTCCCTTAAAATGACAAATGTCATTTAAATGTCCCCTGTCATAATAAGAGAAGGCAGGCTGCTTAGCACTAAACATTTTCCCCATCCCATTCTATGCATATTGACCCAGCTGGGAGAACATGTTTATAAAAATCAGAGTTGGGGGGGGGTGTGTAGCAGAATGGATCAGATGCCTTTTCAGTGGCAGAGACAATACTGACATCAACAAATTTGCTTAAAGATCTACAGAGCCACTAAATGCCATTTTGTCAAACCTGACTCAGAACTATACCTAGAGAAGAATTTTAAAAGGAAAAAGCATATATTAGATTCATTTAATCTAGGGTACTACACACGTACACTTACATCGAAGATACTCATTTTATAGCGGATAAATAAAAAAAATAAGATTCAGGTAAATAAAATATTTTAAGTGAACAAGGACAGTTTTCTTTTAGGAAATCTTGTGAATGAATTCTATAGGAAAGAGTCCTTTTAATATATGAAGTAGGATATGTAGAGGGTCTTTATAAATTCATATTCACATATAAATTTATACAAATAAATTTATATTCATATATAAATTTATACAAATTCTATAAATTCATGTTTCTATATTAAATATCTGGAGATGAGTCTGGTGGCTAAATCAGGCATGCATAAAAATTACCAACCTGAAATATTTTTTTAAACAGCATTGTTATCCTGGGAAGCACATAAGAGGCTTAAGCTTCATGCCTTGATGCAACGAGGCAGGACGGATTGGGAGCCGGCAGAAGACATAACGCCGTGTCATTTCTGTGTCTAGAAGGAAAGGATATTTGCACTGCCAGGTGGACTGTTAAAGCTGAACTCTCAGGAGCAAGAGACTAGCCCCAGTGAGCAAGTCAGGCTTTCTTGTACCCCAGCGGACTCTCAGGGGACCCAGCTTCAATGGTAAGCCAAACTCCTACTGGGAGGAAAAGGGGGGCACAGACCTGCCTAACTAAACTGCAGTTTTTCTTTTTAGAGGAATCCAAAGAATTCCTGTTTGTGCGTTGCCTGTTTGTGCTGTTTATTGGAATCTGGGCTTCTATAAATTTTAAGCCAAGGGGATCAGCAAATTGAAGTGTGGTCTGGATCTGAAGTTTTTTAAGTGCAAGTACTTGGAGATGCTGCTTGCTGGGGGGAGCACTGAGAAGGGCAACTCAGGCACAGCATTTGTCCTTCATTCAACCCTCAACTGGTTCTAATGAGAACCTATGATAGAAAAGAATCTCCATCTCTGGCTCCGACTGGTCTATAAATACTTTTCTGGTCTTCATGGAGGGGCAAGGTATAGGGAGAGAAGAAAGTTGCAATAATACCAACTTTAGCAGTTAGTATGACTTGACTGAAAATTTTCAGGATATTTCTGTTGATTTTTTTCCCTGTGTTCAGAGAGTCTTAAGAACTGGCCACGCTTAGTTCACCAACAATTTAGCAAATATTTCTTGATCACTTAAATGTGCCTGTACCAGAGATAAAAATATTAAGAAATCATAGAAGCCTATGGGGATGGGGACAAGGAGAGTTGATGTGGAGAGAAATAGGCACAAACAGATCATTTGATCATTTCAGTACAGTGTGTTAGTCAAATGCACATATGTGTAGATACATATGCAAGTGCATTTGTTAATATAGACAAATATATATGTGTATACTTATATGTGGGTATGTGTGTGTGTGTGTACATATAAAATACCAGGTGCTAATTTTATGTAAGTCACTGTGTTAATTATATTACAAACATTATCATACTTAATATTCACTCAGAAAGGTTGTTTTGAGAATTGTCATTCCCAAATTATAAAGGAGGAGAATGATTTTCCCAAGGTCAAAAAGCTGGTAAGTGCAGGTCGGCCTGGTGCCAAGTCTCGGTTTCTGGCCACCACTCTGAGCTTCCTCTCATCTGAAGGAGACAGACGAGTAGAGGTGATGGCTGAGGTTTTATTTTTTCTTTTGTTTTTGGTGTATGTCTTTTGCATAGGTATCAAATTCACAGGACTCAAAACTGAACAACATAGAGTGTAAAGTAAGTCTTGCTCCCATACCGACTCTCCCATACTCTCTACTCCCAACCCTCTTCACTATCCCTATCCAAAAACAAAAACTTTTGCAGTACCTTGCTGTTATTCAAGAGTTCCCTTACACAAACATGTTTATCCCTCCTCCTTCATTACACAGATAGGCACACTATACACATTGCTCTGCCCCTTGTTTTTTAAATTTAATGATGTATCTTAGAACTACTTCCGCGTCGGAGTTTAGTATCCTCATTCTTTCTTACAGCACCATAACATCACATTATATGGATGTACCGTAATTTATTGAAATGTCCCATTCCCCATTTGATAGACGTTCCTGGGTACAATCTTGATCATGCTACCTTATGGAACTGTCTTACTGCTGGTAGAAATTTTTCTGTTGTTTCTTTTGGGTTTTCCTGGATGACAGTATCCTTTCCAATATTATACTTCTGATTTCCTTTTCTTGTATCATGTCCTTGTCTATTACAAGACCTGAGTTTTTAAAGGAAAAGGGCTTAGTCAAAGAGAGGATTAGTATTTGAGGCAGAGAAAGCATCAGAAGCACAAAGATACAAAACACCATGGTGGATGCTGAGAAATACAGGAAATCAGGAATGTTGTAGTGTAAAATAATACAAGGTGAGGTGTAGAAGGAGTGAAGGGGAACGCATGCTATAAGGAAACCGTGCTGTATGAGGATGGGAGGCGTTTGCAATGAGGGACATGAAAGGATCAGTCAATGTAAGACAGATCCATTGAAAGTGGCAAGCCTGAGGGAACTATTGAATGATTCCACGTGAAACATGATTAATGTAAACAATGTCTGCAGGGAGAGAAAAGGATGAAGAGAATAATACTTAGTAGATAAAACTGGCAAGCCTTGGTGACACCAAGGCATGAAGATGGAGAATCTGGATGGATAGACAGTGTCTATAAGTGAGATAAAGAGAGCAGAGAGATAAGGAGAAATTTGACTTTCAAAATGGCAATCTTGAAGTATAACTCACTAAACAAATGGGAGGTACTATGGTATCCCAACTTTACGACCTGAGTGGCCTGATGGGTGTATTGGTCTCTTGACAAGTGGTAAACTTTGGACCTAAACACAGATTTGTTAATGCTAAAATCAGCAATCATTCCACTGTGTGTGCTGCTTTCTAAATAAGCAGAGCGTATGAAAGAACATAATTGAAAACAAGCACAACTGATTAAAATGAGGAGAAAAGCTTCAGGAGAGAATAGTAGAGTAAGTGAGCTAGATAGACAGACTGGGACCACATAGCAGAATCCAAACAGTTGGAGCTTTGATCCAGTCCGGTGACCCAAATTTAGAGAATACAACAGAAAATAATAGTTTTTTTTTTAGATTATGCACATTTTAGGTAATCCGTCTCCACCAGCTCCGTTGGAAAGGTAATCTACCATGAGCCCTGGACATCCCTGCACATACTTGCTTGGTATGTCAAGAAACCAAGGCCCTAAGGCCCTGGCCACACTTTATCTAGGCCATTTGTCAGGATGTGTTTGCAGAGAGCAACCTTGAGGCATGAGGTAAGGTCTCCCTCTGGGACAAAGGGGAGGCTGTTTACTGCTGGCTATAAAACAGTGGGTTACCCAAGCTCAGTGTCCTCTGCTGTAATGCAGTTCGCTGCATATGCAGGTGGCCATCTGGGCCCTGCTGGATTGCCCCTGTGGGATTTGGTGGAGGTGGGGAACAAGAGGAACCAATGCAAATGTGCTGGTGGTGATGCTGTTTGCTGTGCCCTGAGTATTAAAGTCTTTTCTCTCTGAAGTATAAGTAGATGTCTTCTGCCAGCATTCATGAAACAGCAACAGGCTAATTTATTAGCTTAGAAATAAGATGAAGTCATATCCTAGATCCTGAACATCTCTGCCCCTGACACTGTTGAGTCACGGTATTCAGTTTGCCTTTATCAGTTTCTGGGAGCCCCATTAGCAGCCAAGAGATAGATATATCAAGAAAAACAAGGCCAGGGAGCCCACTGGCCCAGGCCCTTTTGTGCCTGAGTGGGGCCCCCCTGAAGCCTTCTCTCTTCATCTTCATTGTTTCTTCATGATATGAGAGGACATCATAGCTTATGGCACTGTCATTATGAATGTTGTTTTTGTAAGCTGAGAGAGTGAGGCTAGACTGTTCAAGGCCTTTCTAAAAGCTCACCACTGAATTTCCACTCAACCATTTTTTTTTTAACATTTATTCATTTTTGAGAGACAGAGACAGAGCATGAGTGGGGGAGGGGCAGAGAGTGAGGGAGACACAGAATCTGAAGCAGGCTCCAGGCTCTGAGCTGTCAGCACAGGGCCCGATGTGGGACTCGAACCCATGGACTACAAGATCATGACCTGAGCTGAAGTCGGACACTTAACCAACTGAGCCACACAGGCGTCCCTTTTTTTAATGTTTGTTTATTTTTGACAGAGACAGAGTGCAAGCAGAGGAGGGGCAGAAAGTGGGGGGGGGGGGGGGAGACACAGAATCTGAAGCAGGCTCCAGACTCTGAGCTGTTAGCACAGAGCCCAACGCAGGGCTTGAACTCACACACCGAACCATGAGATCATGACTTGAGGCAAAGTCAGACGCTTAACCGACTGAGCCACCCAGGTGCCCCTCCATTCAACCATTTCTATACTCCTGTCTCTCCAGTTTACTGACTGTGCTCCCCACCCTGACCTTTTGCCATGCTACCGGCATCAATCAGTAGCCCAGAATCACCATTACTGATAGGAGCAGAGAGAGATCTGAGAGAGGAAATACAGAATCAACTCAGGAATTCATAGCAATCCGTTAATTGCTCTCTCATTATTTTTGTAATACTTTCTCCATGGTAAGTAATCCTTTGCTTTAGCCTGAGACCCAAAAGGCCTCTCACAGCCATAGGAGAAAGTGTAAATCAGAAATAAACCAGCTCATACAAGGCTTGGCTTATCATCATCTGGTGGTTCACAAAACCTCAAGGCTTGAACTTAAGTTACGCTGATCCCAGATAGCCAGCACCACTCAGAAGCAAACATTTCTGAGGATGATTCATAGAAGTCTCAGCTTCAAAATATTTCTATGAACTATTTTCAAGTACAACCCCAACATTCAATGATAGCCAGAAATATGAGGAGACAAGACCATGAATAAGAACCAAGGGAAGCACTAAACAACAGTAGACAAGGAGTCTATGGGTTGGAATCATTAGACACAGCCTGTATGATGATGGTTTCCATATCCTCGCACAGATTTCCATGCTTGGCTGATGTAATCTGGAATGGCACATAAACTTTCCCCTAATCAGTCACTTGTTCTCTCCCCTCCAGTCATTCCCATCTTCTCCTAAAACTTCCCCCTTTCGTTCTACCCTTTCCAGAAGCTTCTCTGTCTCTTTTCCCTCAGACATCTTCTCTTCTGCTTTCTAAGGTACTCAGATTCCCCTGTATTGGTTAATTATGCAGGCTCTGGAGAAATCCTGTCTGAATTCAAATCCTGGGTCTATAGTTTCTCTAGGGTAAGTTGCTGAACCTTTAAGCCTCCTTTCCACATCTGTCATGTGCACCTACCTCAGAGGGTTGTTATTAGGATTAAAGTAATTAATACAGGCAAAGTGTTTATAATGGTACATGGCATTGGACAGTGCTCAGTAACTACTAGCTATGAAACCCACAAACCACTAAGCTTTAGTGTTAGGGTTATATAGTCAGGGCACATAACCAGCTACTTCCAGAGGGAGCTTCTCTTCTGGATGTCATTTTATTCTTGGGCTTCTGTCATGTCAGTCTTCCCACCAACACTGGCCCCAGGCACCTACTGCCTCTCTAGAGCTATGGCACAAGTTTGGACGGAAATGCACCACCCACCCCACTCATCATGAATTTCCTTAACAC